AATATAAAAAGGGCTGTGTATGTACTTCAGTGTTAGAGTGCTTGCCTAATATGTAGAAGATCCTGGATTTTCTAAAAAAAATGTACAGAAATATAGAAATCAATAATGGAAGATTTCCAAGAAGATGGAGTTTGTCACAACTGTGAGATGTTGTTGAATGTGTGTGGGCCTCAGGTCTGGATACTCAACTGTGAATGCTTAGAGTAAACACATATACAGTCCTGAGTGCTTGCTTGCCATTTCCTTTATCCTACCTTCTTTTCTACTCAAAGGTGTCCTATAAGCACAGAAGCAGAAAACTAACATGTTCCACCTCATGGAACTCTCAGATGATCCAGGAACTGCAGTGTGTCCTCTTAGGACCTTTCCTGGTCATGATGTGGGAACCTGCTCATAAGAGTGGAAAGAGGCCACTGTACTAACCAGTATCATGGACCCCACCTCTGTGGTCTCTTAGTTGGGCATCATCTTTGTTAGACTCTAGGACTCAGCTGTACTATTTTCTGGCATTGCAACTTGTCTGCTTCCTAGAGGGGAAATTGGTAATTTCTTCTGTCACCCTCCTCAGTGTGTTCTTTGTGCCTGTTCTCATACTACTAACAATAGCATAGTGCTGGGACTCATTGGTGCCATGTTTGCTTTTTCCTTATCCTGGGAGTCCTTTCCTCTTATTAAAAAACCATTACCACCATTTGGAAATTCATCAGGTGGGACGTCTGAAGTATTTTCTACCTTTTGCTATCAACTGTCAGTTGTTTGCTTATTTTATCAAACAGGCCTTGGACAGTGCCTTGGATCAGCTGTGCTCCATTCTCCCAATGAGGGGTTCTCGTTGGTAGACACTGTGACCACCCCTATGCCAACTCTCTTCATCCACAGCCGTAGAAACAGGGACATTGCTAGTGCCTAGAAGAGACTCAGAGAAGGATGGTCTAAGCTCAGTACCTGTGGCATCCTCTGGAATGTGAATTGGAAAAAGTAGCAAAACTGAACACATAGCTTATAAATGGTGCCCTCTTGTTAACACTTGAAGTTTAACGGCTCTGAGTCATTATGATGTTTCAAGGTAAAATCATGGTTGATGGTTGGTGAGGAGGATGACAGTTTTTCAAATGAGTGCAAAGTTTTATTTGGGGAGGGGAAAATCTTCTGGATTTGGAGATAGTGGTGGTTGTACAAAAATGCCAGTGTAACTAATGCCGCCAATCTGTGTGCTTAGAAATGGTTAAAGTGGTTTATTTCATTTAATATGATATTTTCCAGTTCAAATGGCACATTTAAAAAAAAATTATTGTTTTTTACCACAATTAACATGGAAATTAAAAAAAAAAGATGGATTTCTTTTTTAAAGGAAATATTGAATGGAGTGAATACACTTGAACTTGCTCCTGAATAGAGGAAGACCCTAAATCATTTCTTGAACATTCATTCATTGCTGTGTCTCTCCTTCTCGTGATTCACAACATAAAGGAACTCTTATCTGACACAATAATCTTATCAATTGGGGGAGGTAGAAAATTCACCTGAAAAATAATTATTTTTGTGGTACTGGGAATGAATCTAGGGGCTCTCTACCACTGAGATACACCCTTAGCCCTTTTAAGTTCTCTTTTTGTTTTATTTGAAACAGGATCTTGCTAAGTTGCTGAGGCTGACTTTGAACTTGTGATCCCCCTGCCTCAGTTTCCTGAGTTGCTGGGATGACAGGTGTTTACCACTGTGTTTAGCACAATTGAAAAGTACTAGCTGAGTGGACTGGGACACATTTGTGCTCTCTTGGCCTCAAATTCTTCATTTTAATGGTACTTTGCTGAAGCAACTCTAGGATGAAACAGATAATACATACCTTTTAGGAATCTATTAAATAGATAATGATAATCATCATTATCATCTACTTAGTGTTAATGCATTTAAATTTATTTGAATTTCAGTAGCACTTCATCCTAAGGGCTGAGAGACCATCACATGTTTATACAATGATCTCTTGACCAGATCAAGACAGATAATAAACATAATTTACTTTTGCACTCAAAATCTACCATAGTCAGTGCAAAAATTATCCCACATACTGTTTGTATATCTATCTTCTATCACCTTTCTCTTAATCTCTCCATCTATCCAGTTACTCAAATGATTATCCCATTGATTCTTTTTATCATGAGAAACTTGAATGATGCAGATGGTGAATGGTACATTTCACAATTTGCAACATAGAAATGCACCTTATCTTTGCCATTGCTCTGCTAGACTTCAAGGCTTTGGAAAGAAAAGAGTACTACTTGCCTTTTGCACAGGTTCTAACTTTCATGTGCATTGGAGAAATTATTCACTGTCCCATAAGGCAAAGCAAAGACAAATTGACATTCACACATCCGGTAGCCTCTTCCTTCACTGGAGGGAATAACTTTTTAAAGAGATCTCTAAACATTTCTTAGAAATTAAATGTAAAGTTTATGTTTTATAAGGACTATATAAAAGACCTAGATTTCTTAAATAGTATTTGAAAGATAAAGAATCATAGAACAATGGTGGGATTTGAATAATTGTATAAATAATAAAGGGTAAAAAAGTGAGGATAGAAATTTATCATGCACATCTAGAAAAGGTCAAATGTTAGGGTCTTTTTGTTTTCATTAAGGACATTCATTATGTGTTGGAAAATTAGAAAAAGCAGAGAGGAAAGGATTCGTTAACTGCACAAACATAGGTATTTTAGGTTTTATTCACAATTTTCTTTATACAACACTATGGTAGGGATCCTAATGTCTGATCCCATCAACTCACTATGAAATGACAGCAGTGTAATATTAAAAATTTGCTACCACCCACATGTATTAAAAGTTCACAATACCAAGCATCTCTCTATCTAGTTCTGCTTTATATGCTTGTTGTTTGGTTACATGGTCTTACCAAATTTACTTCTACATTTATCCACACACATATTCAGGTTTATTATACCAATTAATTATGAATCAATGTCTAAATTTGTCTCTCTGAGCCACAAGGCTCTCATGGATGGGGTGTGGATATTTTCTAAGGATCATAATTTTTGAACAACTGGTGTTATCAACTTCAAAAATGACTGGACAAAAGTACATTTAGTTAATGACTTCACTAGGTGACAACACAGACTTACACAAAGCTTTGCAATATATTCTGGAGTGAGAGAAATATTTTCTTTTTGAGCTGAAATCAGAAGCCCCTGGTGCACTTGCTATATTTGGGAACAAAACAACTTCAGCTTATTGGGAGGTTGTGGGGACATCCTGCAGCTTTGAGACCAATGTCTTGATAGTTGGGTAGGCCTGGCCCTTTGCTGCTCTGTCACCTATTTGCTTACATCAACAGAAGCCACCTGCTGTTTTGTGAGCTGTCCCCAGGGCCCCTCATGGTGAGGAATTGAGGGAGGCCTCTTGCCATCAGGAAGGACTTAAATCCTCCCCATGACCAAAAAGTTGGTTTGATTAGGATAGGGAATGCAGATAATAGAAAAAGTGTGGGATTTATAGCCATGAGATGACTGCAACCTTAGCAACCCCTTGACTCTATGTTTGTTGAAAACTTTGGAATATTCGAAGGAGTTGAAAGTTACCAACAACTATGTGAAGATCAGTATTTTACACTATACCAACGTATATCACTTTGACAAAACACCGGAGTTGAATTCTTATCTATATTAAAAAAAAAGACTAATAAATTATCAACACATAAAATCCTAAATCACAAGAAAGGAGCACAGAAATAAAAACAGGAAGTTCTCGTTAGAGACATAAATCTGAATTGCAAAAATGAGAATAGTATCATTGTAATACAATCCCTATTTACCTGATTCATTAAATGAATTTACAAATTTATATTTTTGGGGGGTTCCAGGGCTTGAACTCAGGGGCATTCGACCACTGAACCACATCCTCAGCCCTATTTTGTATTTTATTTTGAGATGGTCTCATTGAGTTGCTTAGCACCTCGCTTTTGGTGAGGCTGGCTTTGAACTCATGATCCTCCTGCCTCAGCCTCCTGAGTCGCTGGGATTATAGGCATGTGCCATCACACCTGGCAAATTTACAAACATAAAAACAGACATTCGGTTATTTTTTTCTTTAGGCAGGAACAAATTTATTTCATTGACTATGAATTCAGAAGCAGAAGAGTAGTGACTATGATTCTATGAAACAAACTTTTCTTTTAACAACCATATTACTTTAATTTTTGAATTATTTTTGAACTAGAATTCACACAACCCAAATTCTCTCTTGTAAAGTATAAAATGAAGTACTTTTGAACATATTAACATGGTTGTGCAGCATCACCACTACCTATTTCCAGAATATTTTCATAATCTCAAAAAATGGAATTATGTAATACGTGGTCTTTATTTGTCTGCCTTCTATCATTTAACATAATGTTTTTAAGACTCATCTATATTTTGGCATATATAAATATGACATTTGTTTTCATGGCTGAATCACATTCATGGATGTATGGATATATCACCTTAAGTTATTCACTCATCAGTTGATGGATATTTTGGCTCTCCTAGATCTGGGAAGTTACGAAAAATGATACAATAAACATTTGTGTGGATATTTATGTGTGAATGTTTTCAGTTTTCCTGGGTATATATCAAGGATTTAAATTACTGAGTCATATGATAACCATGTGATGAACTATTTGAGGAACTGAAAATTCTGTTCCCAAAATGGCGACACCATTTTACTTTCCCACTGGATTGGTCTGAAAGTTCCAATTCTCTGTGTCCTTGCCAACAATTTTTATTGTCTTTTTTTTTAATTGAGTGTGAAGTTGCATCTCATTTCGGCTTTGATTTACATCTTCCTCAATAATAGTGTTGAGTATTTTTTTTTCATGAGCTTATAATTGTTTGGGGAGTATAAGAAATTAAGCATATTATTTAGAGGAGGAAAAGAGCTAGAAATTGAAATTCAGTGAGTTTGCCTCAGGGCCTAAAATATCTCCTGAGTTCTGAGGTCAGTGATCCATCAAGGACAACAGGCTGCTCTTCTGAGGAGTCTCCCCAGGGCCCCCTTCACATCCTTGTTCCTCAGGCTGTAGATGAGGGGGTTCAGCATGGGGGTAACCACAGTGTACATCACTGAGGCGATCGTGGTTCTTTGGGAAGAATGGGTCCCAGAAGAATTGAGGTATTCCACAAGCCCTGCTTCATAAAGCAAGGAGACCACACAGAGGTGAGATCCACAGGAGGAGAAGGCTTTAGACTTGCTCACAGAGGAGGACATCCTCAATAAGGAGGAGACAATCTGAGAGTAGGAATAGAGGATCCCAGCAACAGGAAATACAACCATCAGGGCAGTTGAAACATACATAATGAGGGCATCAGAGTTGGCCACCTTGAAAGGCTGAGGCACATCACAGAAGAAAGGAGGGATTTCAGTGCCCATGGAGAAGGTAAATTGCTTCAACAGTAGAATATGAAACAGGGAGAACCAGAACATGATGTTCCAAGACATCAGAACCAGGAGGACACAGAGCCAAGGGTTCATGATGACTGTGTATTTCAGTGGGTGGCAGATGGCCACAAAGCAGTCATATGCCATGACGGTCAGTAGCATATTATCCATTCCAACAAAAATCATAAAAAAATATACTTGAGTGAGGAATTCTAAGTAGGAAATCTCTTTGCTTTGTGTGTGAATGTTCACTGGCATCTGTGGGATTATGGTAGATGTGAAACAGATGTCAGCCAAGGACAGGTTGGAGAGGAAGAAGTACATTGGTGTGGAGGTGGGAGTCAGAGCTGACCGCCAGGATGATGAGCAGGTTCCCAAGCACTGTGACCAGGCACATGGACAGGAACAGGCCAAAGAGGAGGGGCTGCAGGTCTGGATCCTCTGAAATGCCCAAGAGGAAGACTGTGTTAGTATTGTGCGGTTATCTGCTTCCATGCAGCTGATGTATCTGCTGGGATAGGAAGCAAAACATGTCCAAAAAATAGCCACCGGGCACCCCTTACAGCATCATCTTGGATGAACATCCTTCACTTCTATTGAATCCTGAAAATGACTATTTCCCTCAGCCAAGTGGTAGTCCATTTCACTTTTAAATGTATATAATCATCCACAATTCCTTAAACATAGCACATTTTTTCTTTTTTTGTATCATTGATTCACTTGTTTTAATTCTCAGATTTAAATTTATTGATATAAACTAATTTTATTTGATATTATTATTCTATAATAAAGATATGCCACCAATTTTTCTTGATTGTCTCCAAACTGTTCATTGTAAAACCTCTAAAATAAAGATTAATTAGATATGTAATACAAGCAACATTTTTTCTATGAATAGATACTTCATAGTGATGTGACAGTTAACTGTCAATATTTATTTTTTCCTTTTTAAAATATAGTTTTTGATTTATTTAAAACTGCCTCTGTTAACTTTAAGAGACCCAACAAATTATTATTATTATTGTTGTTGTTGTTATTGTTATCATCATTATTACTAGTATCCTTTAATATAATTTCTACCAAAGCATAGCATAGAACTGAGATTTAAAATTGCCTTTTTTAGTCAGATTTCTGCAGTAGAATTTGGGTGCACATATAAATCATGTTTGTGTCCTTGGAAAAGTTATTGAAACTCTCTTATGCAAAGTCTAATGTGTACTCAGTGTTTTTCAAGATACATGATACCATCATTAGCTATAGTTACCATCCTCTATAGTTTATCTCTTGAACTCATTCCTCAAATCTAATTGGAATTTTGTATCCTTTGCTCAACATCCCTCTGCCCCACAAATCAAAATGTCTTTCTTAGAAGACAAAAATATCTTTCTTAAAAGACAAAGAATATTTGAGTGAGCACTCACTTGCATAAAGAAGGGATATGACAACCCAAGAATGATGAAAACCTGTTGGAAGGAAATGAGCAAATAACAATATATTCTTATTATGAAATTCCAACTTTAATTTCATGTATTTCAAATATGTAGTATTAGTTTTTTTTTTCACTAATGATTGACCCCAGGGGTGCTTAATCACTAAGCCATATCCCCAGTCACTCCCCCCTTTTATTTTTTATTTTGAGACAGGGTCTTGCTAATTTACTGAGGCTGGTGCCCAACTCACAATCCTCCTGTCTCTGCCTCCCAAGTTGCTGGGGTCAGGGGTATGTAGCACTATGCCCAGCTGCACTAATAGTTCTTGTAGATGTTTCTATGAATAGTTTCAGTAGAGAAATATTGTTTTAGACACAATAAGATAAATGTTATATTTTAGTAAATGTGGTATACTAAAATTATTATTGACAGTAGCAATTACTATTCATGGAGCACCTTGTAAGTGCAAAGAAATATTCAAGAGCATTGGGTCTCAACTCTGACATGAAAAAGGACCACTGAAACCTTTAAATGCAGATTCTGATTAAATATATCTTGGTTTCAAGCCAGGAAATCTAGATATTTTAAAACATGCACAGGTG